TATGTATGTGTGTATGTATGAGTGTGTATGTGTGTGTATGTGTGTGTATGTGTGTAGCCATTCATGCCATGGTATACACAGGAGTTGGTCTGGGGATCAAATTAGTGTCAGGTTTAATAGTAAGTACCTTTGCCCACTGAGCTATCTTGCCAGCACCCTATTTCTATTTTTATCTGTTTCTACATTTTCCCTTTCTAAGAGAGAAAGGAAGGGCAGTCCTTCCATTATGATCCCACTCGAGGGAGCTTGGGAACTCCAGCCTCAGCTCTGATGGGCCTCATTCCAGGTAACCCCGTCCCTTCCAATCCAATCATCCAATCTGCCCTGCGCCAACCACACTCTGGGCCAGTGAATGGGAAAGACTTGCTTAGGAACAATTGTCTCTATGTGGGGAACCCTACTTTTTTTGCCAGACTTACCTCTTGAATTCTGTTCCTGTGTTACCTCAAACTAGCCTTTCCTGGCCCTCGCATTAAAAGCAGATGCCTGCACTGAAACCCACCGCTGGTGCCACATGTGGCAGTACACCCCTGTAATCCCAGTACCTGAGAGGCTGAGGCAGGAGGATTAAGAGTTCAAGTCCAGCCTGAGCTACCATAGTGAGACCCTGTCTCACAACAAACAAAACTTACCACAAGTCATCTCTACTTTAGGCAGAGCGCCCACAATCTAGAGTTATGTTTTTGTGGTTCCATGCTTGTCTGCACCCTAATTCCTGAATTAGGCCTGAATTCCTTAAGAGCTAAGATTCCTCTTGTTTAGTCTGTAGATCCTGCAGTAAGTAGAGTGCCTGGACGTTGTTCCATAAGCCCTTCTAAAGAAAACAGTGAGCGTGAGGAGAAGGAAACTGAGGACAAAGGAGAGTGAAAGATGTTGAGTGTGATGTGTTATGCCTGAAATCTCAGCACTCAAGAGGCTGAGGCAGGGGAATTGCTTTACATTCTAGGCTAGCCTGGGCTTCAGTTTTAAGGACCTGTCTCAACAAACAAAAACAGAAAGTGAAGCTGTTGATGGAACACCAAGGTACAGCTAGCTCTCTGTGCTAGCCTGAGAAGGCTTCCAGACCCCGAGTGGGCTTCTAGGAACATTTCCTTTTGGGGCCATGATACTTTGGAGGTTTGAAGGCAAGGCAGGTGGGTGGAGCTGGCCTTTATCTCGGAGTGCAGCCCTAGCTAGCCTCAGATGTTGACAGCTGGAGCTAGCAGGGGTTTTGCAAACCTTCCCAGTTGCAGAAGGCCAGCAGTCTGTGGGACAGGTGGGTGGAGCCCGAGCTTATCTCCCTAGTACAGTTCTAACCTCAGATGGTAACAAAGGGGGAGCTAGTGGGAGTTTTGCAAACCGTCCCGATTGCAGCAGGGCTGGATGGCCTGGCCAGGGTGACCATGACACTAGGTGTTGGCGGGTGGTGGTGGGTGGTGATGATAGGGTTTTTGAGTTTGAGCCTTTTGGATGAAGTTTAACTTTCAGGCCACTGGGGTGGAGCCATGCTCTATTTGGCTTGCCTCTACCTACATCAAACTTTGGTTTTTTAAATGACAAGTAGGAGGCCATAGCTCTGCAGGTGAGTCTTTCCCTGCAAGCAAAGCCTTCCCTTAAGGACAAAGGACCTTACCTGCTCCCTCAAGTTACAACTGATGGCCATTTTGATGAAGTCAAATTGCCTCTTTGAAAATACCCACCTTCTCTTCTCCATGGAGAGACTGTCACCTGCCATTGGTTTTCAGAGCTCAGGCTAGGGAGTACTTTTCAGGTTAGACCACTTTCACTTTTGAGGAGGAGTTGTCTTCTTGAGAACTAGTGGATGTCTAAGGGGGACTACACAGGCCCTGCTGTCTCATCCCTATATTCTAGAGTCTTCTCACAGGCTTGGAGCAGGGCAAGCACTGGAGGTGAAGAGGCCTCGTTCCACCACAACCCCAACCGGGATCTTGCAACACTGGGATGGGGGCCCTGGGGGCCCCGGGAGTGAGGCAATCTCTGGGGGTTGGGAGGTGTGCATCGAGGGGGACAGCTTTCACAAGCACCCGCTGACTGACCTTGGTAGACTCACCTTGGACAGCTTCCTCCCCACAACCTTCCTTCTCACAGGCTTCCCTGTAGCCTGAGATCGAGTCTAGGTTCAGGAGTCTTGTCCATTACCTCAGTTTTGCTCAAGAAGGAAAAGGGGCTTCTGAACAAGAGGAATGATTGTGGCTGGGGGTGGGGAAGGGTTGCTTCGCTGCTTTTCACAGGTTCTCAAACCCCAGGCTTGAAGCCTTTGCAAACTGCAGCAGGGCTTAGCCAAATGCCCCTCCCTCCTCTCCTCCTGCTGTGTCCTTTCCCTGTGGACAACCCTGAGAGGTCATTCTCGGGGCAGAGATAAAGCAGCTCGCCTCCTAGCTCCAGCTTCAGAGCATAGGGAACCGAAGGAGAGTCATTTGACAACTCCTTTCTGTAGAGGAGATACTTTCTGGAGTACCCAAGTTTGTCCTTCCAGGTCATCCAGCCAAGCTGGACTTGGCACTTGGCTCTTCCTGGTGCCCACAGTAGACTCTGAAACACATCAACCTCCTAGAAAGTTTTCAGGGTTCAACTTAAATGTTGCTTCCTCCAAGAGGCCTTTAACTTTCCTGGCGAAACAGTATGTTTGTTAACTTGGTTTCCCTGGAAGGCACATTCAAGTGGGATAATAAGCACGAAAGCACTTTATCCAGGCATGCAAGAAGAGTCTTGGGAAGCCACAGGAATGGCAGGTACCAGGACCCCAACAGCAGGGAGTCATTGCCACGCCAGGGCCCCAAGGGCAGAGGAATGACCAGAGAGGGGCCAGCATGGAGGTTCGGTCTTCCCCCCACCCCTCGTCAGTCTCCTCACTTCCAGGGGAAGCCTGTTGATAAAGGAAGGAAACCTCCCGAGAGCAGAACTGCCTGGGAAGAGACAGAATGGCAGATGGAGGGGCCAATGGGAGAGAAGAGGCATACCTGCTCATTACCTTTTCCTTCTTATTCCTGTAGCTGAGAAATTGTCTCTTTCTCTGGAAGGATGCTTGAATAAATCACTTTGGCCAAAGCCAGCTACTGGCAGACTGAGAGCCTTTTGCAGGTGGCAAGATGTCTCAGGATAGAATCAGACAGAAAGGAGGGGAGTGTGCTTGGCTGTTCTTTGTCATATCTCATTGGGATCTCACTGGGGAGAAGACTTTTCTTTAGCCTCAGTGCCAATTAGAAAGGTTCCTAAAAGTCACTCTGAAGATTGACAGGTCACTGGGGGGCTGCAAGGAGATACAACTCAGAGCTGTGGGAAAGACATGCAGGCAAAGCAGACCCCAGTATCTAAGGCCTTCAAAAGGAGTCAGGCTGGGTAGGGAGAGAGACCTTAAGCTGAGAGGAGTGAATGGGGAGACTGAGACACCAGCTGTGTTCTGCGCAAACTCCCTGTGCATCCCCGATATCCCTAGGCTGATGGAGAAGTGAGAGGATTTTCCCAAGTGCCATAGAGATGGGCAGCTTCATCTCCTACTCAAGTAGTGTCCATCAGTCCTTCCACCCAAAGGTTCGAGTCTCTCCTAATCAGCTGGAGGCCTGAGGACGCAGGGGAAAGAGAGGGTGCTGAGACACAGAGGCAGAAGGTAGCCAAGGTTAGATAGCCTAGAGGGTCTTAGCCTGGGAGTTAGCCTGGAGGTTAGGCCGAGGGTGTGATGGAGAGAGCTGTGGGCAGCATGTCAGTATCTCTAGGTGTTCATTTGGACATCTTGCACATAAGATGCCTGGGACACTGTGAAAGTTTCTACCACTGAGATCTGAAGTGGAAGGAGAGACAGGCCTGTGATCACACACACACACACACACACACACACACACACACACACTATAGCTCTTATCCTGTCCAGTCTCTAATATCATGGGGGCAATTCACGGTTATTTTTCTGTTGTTCTGTGTGCTAGTGCTGAGACCTAGAGTCCTGTGGACACTGGGTAAGCACTCTGCTAACTCAGTCCAATCCCCAGACTCATAGTTATTTCTTGACCGTGGCTCAGGAACCACATCTGTGCAGTTTTTCTCTGAGGAGAGAGTAGAAGAAAGGTATAGCGCTAAGGCAGCGAGGGACCGAGCGAGCACTTACCCACTTGAGCCCTCCCTACTTTATCTACAAGATGTGGCTCGCACTATCTTGCTTGTCAGAGGGCAAAGCTCGCCCAGATGATCTCTTGAGGTCTCTCCTAGGACCTCTTGAGATCTGTGATTTCATGGAGCCAATTTTGATTCTGCCTCTAAATAGTTGTGTGATTCTAGGCGCTCTCTCTCTCTCTCTCTCTCTCTCTCTCTCTCTCTCTCTCTCTCTCCCTTTCTCTCTCTCTCTCTCGGCCCCAGACTCCTCACCTGCAGAACGAGAGACATCTAGAGACCTGATGTATTTTTGCTTTTAGCAAAATGGAACCAGAACAAATACCCATGCTCACCACATGTCAAATTCCATTTTTTCTATGAAAATAATGGCATGGGCTAGGTACTCAGATTCATCCTGAGCAGAGGGAGAAACTGAGGCATGGAAAGGCGAAGTAACTGGTTCAAGGTGAGACAACAAGCTGACACCCTCAACTACTGTACAGTTTTGCTTCCCAGGCTGCAGTTCTACGGGAAAGAAAACACCTGGAATGTGGGGTTCGCAGGCAAAGTTTCCTCATGGTCTGTGTTCGAACATACACATCAGATTCTAACTGATTTCTTGGGGGCTTACTTTCTCCAGTGGCTTGGGGGGATGAAGGATAAAGATGGGAGTGAGGATGTAGAACAAGAAAAGAGACAGAATGCTGGGTTAATAGCTAAGGGACCACAGCAGAGCCATCAGAAAATCTTCCTTTGGTCACCTGGGAAATGAGCTTTCAGGCCTAAAGTCAGAGAGCAGGGCAAAGGCCAATGGGCCTGGCACTGGAGCTGTACACTGGGATCATCTGTGCCCTAGGATATTCTCAGGGCAGGATGCAGAGGCTGCTCCAGACACTCTGTGGTGGAACCAAGCATGCACTCAATGTACAAAGGACCAAGTGGGTAGGTGGGTGGACATGGAGGTGAAGTGACAGAGAAGCAGAGGGGACAGGCTAAGGCTTGGCTGGAAGACATAATGATGGACAGAGCCAGCCGTGGGCAGCATGTTAGTATTTCTAGGCATTCATTTGGACATGGAGACTAGCCACTATTCTCTGCTCTTGGGGTCTTCCACGAGTACACACAGCACTCCCACCAGACCCAGGCCCAAGACCCAGTGAACAGCTCCAGCATCGAGTCACAGTGCAGTTTATTCAGCCACAGTATCATTTTGGTCCTGACCTTCCCAGTTACTGGCTGCCATCGTCCATGATCTCTGTCTCAGGCTTGGCCTATTCAGGACTCTGGGGACCTAGGAGGGTGGGCGGGGTCCTTAGGGTCTGGTGCTCACAGTCTGCCAGGCAGGCTCAGCTGCAGCCCCCGACACCCTTGATGAGGCTGGCAGCCTCAGGGATCTGGCGGAAGAGGTTGCGCAGAGTGTCTAACTCCTGGGTAAGCTGGTCCACACGGCTGCGCAGACGCTCATTTTCAGCCATGTACTCCAGCACCTTCTGCTGTGTCTCCATAATGCGCCTCTTGGCCTTGTCCCGGCTCTTGCGCACCGCGATGTTGTTGCGTTCGCGTCGCAGCCGGTACTCCAGGCTGTCTTTGTTCACTGCCTTCTTGCCCTTATGTGAGGGGCCAGCAGGGGAGGGTGCCTTGAGAAGGGGGCTGCAGGGAGGGGCAGCAGCAGCTACAGGGGCCTGGAGGGTAAAGGGACAGAGAGTTGAGGGTCCACCAGGAGGCAGAGTGAAGACTAAGCAGGAATCCCAGCACGGAGAGCATATGTGAGGCCTCAAAGGCTACCAAGCAGCTCCTGTCTGCCAGGCATCCCCCTGTCCCTGTGAAGGACGGTAACCCAGAAGCACATGGTCCTTGGTCTGAGACCAAAGCTTTCTTTCATGCGCTCGTATTCTCTCAGAACCCTTTCCTGTGGCTTGTCTGTAGTAAGTCTCTTGTTCTAAAATTCTAGTCAGCCGCATTTCCTCATCCAGAAGCAGGCAGAAGAGAAACAAGAGACGGGGTATAGTGGACAGCAGGAAAGCTGGTCCAGCCCGAGATCAGGGCAGAACAGCTACGGTGTTTTCAGGACACAGTAGAGTTCTGAGAAATGAATTCACAGAGTCGGAAAACAGGCTTTGGGGTAGGCCATGTTCACAGAGGAGCAGCAGACTTGTTAGGGAAGCCCAGTAGTCAAGAATTCCCTCATCCAACCACCTTGCTCCACCCCAGGGAGGAAATGGGGAGAACTACCTTGATCTTACCTTGAGGACGCGCAGGGGCTGGCCAGGTGCTGCCAGGGTCGGGGGGAGATGCACCGCAGTCTGCCCACAGTGTGCCACTTGGTACTGCAGGGGATTGTAGCTGCCTCGGTTGGCGCCTCGGTTGCCCTCTGGCCCTCGTGGCTCCTCCTTCACCGCCACAGCCCTGGGGTCGTAGCTCCCTGGATTGCTGTAGATGCCAGGCCCCACAGCTTTCCTATCTGGGCCAAATGTGTGTGAGGGATAGGCAAATGGCCGAGGGTCAGCCGGCAGATAGTGAGGGAAAGAAGGGGTTCCTGGGCCCTTAAGGCTTCGGGCTTCAGGCGTTGGCTTCATGGCAAAGAGGTCAGAAAGTAGCTGTTCTTCCCCAGATTCGATGTAGGCGGAGAGGTCGATGGAAGCCTCATGCTCACACATGTCCCCCAGCTCCCCGGGTCCAGCTCGACCCCCTGAGAACTCAAGTGGCTGCTGGCCACCCCGAGGCTCACACTCATAGTAGGTCCCGTGGGACATGGCCAGCCCGCCCCCTTGGCTCCCCGCCCCTGGGTCCTGTGCTCTGGGCGCTCGTTGGGATGCTCAGCCTGCCCTCTCTTGATCTCTCCGTCCTAGAGATGCCCTAGGTCTGCCCTCTCTGGTCTTCTCTGTCACCAACTCCTACGTGGCTTCTCTCCTCCTCTGCTTCCCTTTCCTTCTGTAGTCAGTGCCTCTTCCTTTCTTCCCTTTTCCTCTCTCTCCTTGGTGTGACTCAGGGAGGGGCAGGGCACACCCCAGAGGGAGGGGTGCTTAGCAGTTAGGGTGTTCTTTGCTGAGGCCCCAGCCACAGTCCAGAAGTTGCTGTTTGGGAAAATGGCCCTTCTTGCCCTGTGAGCTCAAGGGATTCTAATCCCTTGCCCAGAGTAGCTTCTCTGAATGTCTGTCTTCCTCCGACTTCCAAAGAGATCTGTGCAGAGTGAGGTGCCAAGCCAGAGCCAATAGACAAAGCGTTCTTCCAGTGCCAACTTGGTCTAAACTCCTCCCTTGATGCATCTTCCTCCCTGTTTCCCCCAAGTCCTGAACTCCACCTACCCTGGGGTAAGCCAGTTCCTTCTGTAGCCCCACCTCCCATGACATTCTCCTCTGTGTAGGCCATCATTGTTTGAAGGGTTTGGGAAGTAGTAATAGATTCTAGGACCAAGCTACCCCTGGCCCTAGTACAGGGTATGCCCATTTGCTAGTTTTGAGACAGGGTCTCATGATGTAGCTCAGGCTGGCCTTGAACTCACAGAGTTCTGCCTGCTTATGCTTCCAGAGTGCTGCTATTAAGGTTCTTTGGCTAGGTCTTTGCACAGGGCTTGTGCACATGTTTCCAGACTTGGATATGGCTGGCAGCCTGGCACAGTCCTGGACTGCCTGGACATAGCTGAGGTCATGTCTGGTCAAGACATGGGCTGAGTACCTCAGGCCCAGACAGGCTGCTGTCCCAGAACCAACAGACAGGATCCGCTGCAGGCCCCAGTTGCTCCACCCTGAAAGAGGCTCAGGCTGACCCCACCCCGCACTGGCTAGAGGCTCTGCCTCTTACTTCCTGTGCCCTGGGCTGCATGCAGGCCCTGGAGCTCAGTGCAGCTTTGCTGCTCTCCTTCTGCGTGACTGTCTTCTGACCTCTAGTGTGTGTCTCTTGGGTCCACTTCCTCTTGTAGGCTTGAGAAGCCTTCTCTCTTGTCCTCATCTCTTCCTGGGACTGTTTCAGGGTCCAGAGGAGAAGCTGGTAGCTGCCTGCCCGCCCTTCTTGATCTTCTACTAACCCCCAAAGTTCATTTTTCTTCTTCGATTGGGAACTCCCAGCTCCCTCCAGTTGGTTGTGGCTCTGCGTCAGGCTGGGCTCTGGATTTAGTGGCAAGAAAAGAACAGAGACATACAGAGACATGAGAAGTGTGTTACTGTAAAATAAATTCTTCTTCTTCTTCTTCTTCTTCTTCTTCTTCTTCTTCTTCTTCTTCGGTTGAGTCTCCCTGTTAGCCTAGGCTGGCCTTGAACTCTCATCTTCCTGCTTCAGCCTCCTTGGAGCTGAGTTGACAGGTGTGCCTTCATACCCTCCTGGCTCTTTTATTACAAACAGATGTCCTAGGGAGAGGGACAGAATTTTTAAAAATGAATTTAAATGAATTCATTATTTCAAAGTGTGTGTGGTGTGTCTGTGGTATGTGCACACTTCTAGGTGTTACAGGCAGTTGTGAGGCACCCAGTATGGATGCTTGGAGCCAAACTCAGGTCCTCTGGAAGACCAGTAAATGCTCTGAACCCTTGAGCTATCTCTCCAGCCCTAAGAATCAGAACATTTTCTAAGTTGAATATTCCAAGGACCAGGTAACTGCGAGGGGTCACAGAGGTAAGCTTCAATAGGACACATATGTCATTGAACACTAAAATTAAACTGTAAATGTAACTTGCCCACAAGTCAGAGGAGGTAACGTTGATGAATTTTCTGTCCCATCCCCTCTAATGCCACAGTCCATCCCATATGCTCTAGGCACAGCCTGAAGTATGTCCAAAATATTCTTTCCCCAAAATCCCTGGCCAAGCAGGGGGAGAGTCAGCCGTATACTAGACATAGCACCGGAAATAGAAGGGCGATTTCTGCTCTTTGGTCCACAGGTCCTTTATCAAATAGGTACCAAGGCTGAGAGATTTCAGTTTGGTGAACTGACGCTATTGGCCACTAGGTGGCAATATTGGTTTCCAAAGCCTATACTTTCGGGTCCGCGATGGTTTTGAATCTGGTGGACAGCAGGGGGCAGCCTTTCTTAACTCTGACACCACCCCTGGCCGCTCTGTTCTGGGAAGCTTGAAGAAGAAGCATAGTCAAGGTTGGGGATTCTCAGTCAGATTGCCGGTAGTGTGGGAAGGCTAGGAGGACTGGTGCCAGGACCAGTTTCAAAGAAAAATTCTGTCCCCTCTTTGACTGTGGAATAACGATAGTGGGTGGATCTTGTGTCATCTGATAAAGTAAAGCTTTTTTCAATCGATGATGAGTGCACTTTTTCATGCTGACCATTTTGCTGTGAGCTAAGGAGGGGAGGTAAAGCAGTATGTTTTATCCTATCGACTCGGAAAATAAGGAGGAGAGGCTGAGCTGCACAACTGCACCGAGGGATGGATGTCTTAGTGATCTCTGAAAAGGCTGATGGCTTGTTCTTGAAATGGCCCTGGGGATGGAGGACTGCATTAGGTGTGGCTGCATGACTCAGGGATTCTCTTTCCGCCTCGCTGGCTGCCTTGGGTAAGGGGAGAGTTGCAGGGTAGCGCCGAATTCCCCGCGGGAGGTGTGCAGATAAAGCCAGCAGGAAATGAGAAGGTGTGCAGCTGTGTCCCAGTGAAATAAGTGATGCAGGTGTCTGGACCGGCGGTGCTGGCGCTGCCTGCAGGCTGACGTTAACGTTACCTAGTAACTGAGGCATAAGCAGATAGGGTGTAGATAGGGAAGCAGGAGAAGGGGTTGGGAAAGGAAGCAAGGTGGGAAGGCAAAGCCACCTAAAGACTGGGAGGTTCTTACTCAGGAGGGGAAAGAAGCCTTCCTTGCTCAGCGGGATCAGTTTCCTGTTGCTGCTGCAGTTGCTACCTGTTTGCATTAAGTAAAACAATGGGTGAATATTATCTCAGTGGCTTGTGACAGGCTTCTCACCAGGACTGTCTCAGAGGCTTCCCTGTAGGGCAGAAGCTAAGAATGACTGTGAAGTCTGAGAGGGAACTAGACTCAAATCTGGTTCCTGTCACTCACCAGCTCTCTGACCCTGGTCAAGCTAGGTAATCTACTGTAAAATGGCAGTAGTAATGGCTGTCTCATGAGGTTGTTTAAACTTTGAAAAAAACAAAAAACAAAACAATAGTGTGTGTAAAGCAACTAACTCAGTGTAGGCTAAGCCTCCTCCCTCTCTTTCCTAACCTCTCCACTGCTGTTTCTGCTGTCCCCAAAGCACTCCTGCTGCCTTGGAGGCTACATTGACAAGCATTTTAAAAATCTGGGTTTTAAATAACAGAAAACCCATGCGGGTGTGGTGAAGCATGCTTCTAATTCTAACACCGCAGGAGAGGCAGAAGCAGGTGAATCTCCATGAATTTGAGGCCAGCCTAGTTTACATAGTAAGTTTCAGGCTAGTCAGGGCTACACAGAGAGAAAACCATCTTGAAAACCAACTAACCTACCAACCAACCAACTAACCAACCAACCAATGAACCAACCAACCAACCAACCAACCAACAAAAACAAGAACAACAAGTAAATTTAGATTTTTAATTTTTTTGCATATTTATTTATTTATTTATTTATTATTTGTTTTTTTTTGAGACAGGGTTTCTCTGTGTAGCCCTGGCTTCTCTTTCCTTAGTTGTTGATCTATATATTCTTAAATACATGAATACAGCCTACTTAGTCTGTGTAATGTTAATCGTATGTATGTATTTTCAGGGCTGACCATTTGGCATCCACAGACCAGTTGATGTGCTTTTCCCTGGGGAAGACTGTTTGTCCAGCTCTCAACATTCCTTAGGTGCCCGTAGTTCTTTGTCTAGGGTTGAATCTTTGTGAGCTTTCTCCCTCCCATGTTAACATGTCTGTTGTGTTCATCCTTGTTCAGGTCATGGTTAGGCAACTATGGTGGTCTGACTACTCAGGGTTTGACTTTTTGGCCCCCTATAGATTCATGTATTTCAATGTTTGGTCATAGGGAGTGGCACTATTAGGAGGTGTGGCCTTGTTGGAGGTGTGGCCTTGTTGGAGGTGTGGCCTTGTTGGAGGAGGTGTGTCACTGCGGTGGTGGGCTTTGAGGTCTCCCATGCTCAAGCTCCACTCAGTGTGGAATCAGAGCCTCCTCCTGTCTGCCTACAGATCAAGATGTAGAACCTCCAGTACCAATGCCATGTTTCCCACCATGGTGGTAATGGACTGAACCTCAGAGACTGTAAGTCAGCTCCAACTAAATGTCTGCCTTTGCCATGGTGTCCTTTTACAGCAATAAAACCCTAACTCGCTGGGCAGTGGTGGCACACGCCTTTAATCCCAGCATTTGGGAGGCAGAGGCAGGTGGATTTCTGAGTTCGAGGCCAGCCTGGTCTACAGAGTGAGTTCCAGGACAGCCCGGGCTATAAAGAGAAACCCTGTCTCGAAAAACAAAACAAAACAAAACAAAACAAAACAAAACAAAACAAAACAAAACAAAACAAAAAAAACCAAAACCCTAAGACAACAGCCATTTTGGTGAGACTTCATGGGTACAACCTCTCTGACATTTCTAGGAGACACAATCTCACAGCAAGCTTCTTGCTTCTCCAGCTCTTACAATCTTTTCTGCCTCCCTCTTTGACAATGTTTCCTGAATCTTAGGTGTAGGAATTATGCTGTAGGTATATCAGTTGGGAGTTTAGGAGGGATCAAGAAATCCTCATATGGATTGGTTTTGGTTTTCTGTAGTGGTCTCTGTCTTACAAGGAGACAGTTTCCTGATGAAGGTGAGGTATAGGAAGGCACATATTTAGGATGTAGTTAGAGATTCTGCTGATGGTAGTAGTTACAGATTCTCTTTCAAGATCCATGACTCCACTTGGCCGGGGTAGTTGGCTAGGTTCCTAATCACAGGCATGATTTCTCTCTTGTTGACTGGGATTTTTTTCTTTTTAGATTTTTAAATTTGATCTTATATGTGTAGGTGTTTTGTCTGCCATGTATGTATGTGTAGCATATGTGTGCCTGGTGCCCAGGAAGGTCAGAAGAGGAGGTCTGATTCCCTAGAATTGAGTTAGAGATGTTTGAGC